ATGTAACGGTGTATGGAACCGGTGGTGAGATTCCAAAATCCAAATACTCAACAAAGACCCATAGTTTATTTTTAAAAAAAATATTGAATGTGTAACATCAATGGTGGGGGCTTGAAATGTTTAGATTCATATGCATAGCATTGCATGTGTTGAGGGAACTAGTAAAGGATCGGGTTGAGTTGCATGTGTGAGTCTCATCTCATATCATCTCATGGTATTGATGATTTTATTGTTGAATTGCATATTCTTGAATAGAGCAATTGTTGCTTGTGAATTGCATGTGAACATTTCATATACATTTAGGTTGGGGAGTAGCCTCTTTAAAAGATACCCTATTAAGTGTGGCTCACCCTTTATACGAATAATATTTCAGGTGCGAGACATGCGCTAGTGGACGACTGTCATTCGAGCCCTCATTGATGAAAAAAACCGAAATGTGATTTTTAAATTATACTTTTGTAAAACTAAGATGTAAATTAGTTTTTTGGCATGTAATATATGTAAAGAATTGTAATCGAACTCATATGGACTATGTTTGATGTAAAATTGCATGTTGTTAGATGAGTATGGATAAATGGACCTAATGTGGTCAATGTTATATAATAGGTTGCGTTTTGGGTAGAATTTCACGTACAAAGGAAACTCTGTTTGAATTTTGTTAAGTTATGGATCCTGGTAAATGGAGTATAACGGCGTGATATCAAGATACACTGTATCCACGAGTATTCCGTGGTTTGATGAGTGATCAACGAGTTGACAAAAGACCCCTAGTTTTAGGGGCGTCACAATGGTCACTTAATGGATTATACAAACCAAGAATAATTATTTTTTTCCTTAATATTACTTGAAGTAAGTTGTTTCATTTTCATAAAAATTATTTTTTGTTATCTCACCCTATTAGTGATTGGATTCTAAATCTGATATTCTCCCTTTTTAGTAGTCTCACTCGGAAATCTATTGGGCCTAGCTTCGTTTGCAATTTTTTTTTCCCTCAAGATTTTATCAACTAATATATCAATAGGTCAATTCTTGCCATTGGCTATGATTTATTTGTCATGTCCCAGTCCTTAGGGTTTTATTGTGCCTCTCTTTCAAACTGTCATTCAACATTTTCTAGTGTTTTCTCTTCTACTATAGTTGCATTGTTATAAATTGCAATTGTTGGGTAACATCCATGTTTGGAAATCAATAATAAAATGTTTGATGTTTTTATGTAGCGGGTTGGAAAATCCGTGGTGAAGCATTTGGGTTAAAATGGTGTGAAAACGCGCCAGGGATAAAATCATCTGATAAAATTATCAAACCAAACTAGAAAAAATATGGAATTTCTTGAACATGGAAAGTATTATATTTTTTAGGGGAAAAAAAACACAGACACCCATGAGTTTTGAAGATATTATATGGACACCCCTTGACATTTTACAAATAACACAGAAATCCCTTAAGGTTTGAAACTCATTGGATACACACCCCCTCCGTATCCCTTCCATCAATGTTGCTAACAGAAAGTGATGATTTCATGTCAAAAAATTTTATTATTTTCACAATTACTCTTCTCCATATTTAATACCCAAAAAAATTAAAATTTAATTAAAAATTTAATAAAATCAAACAAAATTTGATTTAGTACCCAAAAAATTGATAAAATTAATTTAAATATTTATTTGATAACAGTAAAAATTAATTTGATATTAATTCGACAAAGTGGAATATAAATTGGACAAAATTAAAAGTCAATTTAATAAAATTATATATTAATTTACAATCTAAGGTTTATTTTGTGTTGATTAAACCAACATGAAATTGACCTTAAATTTTTAATTATTTTTGTTGTACATAAACTTAAAAATTTATATTTTAACCCATAAAATTTAAATACATATTTTTTTGTAGCATAGTGTCTTCCTTCTTACTATATCACTTGATAAGTTTTCTTTTGGTCAAGATTTGACCATGCTTATTTAAATCAAACAAATTGTTCACCTTCACTTTTTTTTTTAAGAGAATTGCTCACATCCACTTGACAAACTCAAAAAAATCTCTGGTTCACGTGAACATACGTGAAAGTAAATAAAAAAGTTGACAAAAAATTTGAAAAGTTGATAGTTGAAACAATTTAAAAAATTTAGTGCCAAAAAATTAGATAATGTTGTCAAAAATATAATCTTGTGTAGATTTGATCAATAACAAATAATATTCAATACGAAATGAACTCTAGATTATAATGTCAAGGGTGTCTATATTATTTGTAAAATGTCATAGGGTGCTCATGTAATATTACCAAAACTTAGGGAGTATCCGTATGTTTTACCCTTTTTTTACAATTAAGTATTTATATAAAAAAATAAAAATTTGCAATTAGGGGATAAACCCTAATTTCTCTCTAATGGAGACCTTATATTACTATGGAGGAGGTGTCTCCACGGAGTTTAATTCAGCCAAGCGGAGGCTGTGGTGACATGAGGCAAGGAAGGGAATTTAAGGGGATGTGCAAGATGAGTAATCAGTTGTCTAAGAAGAAAGAGAAACAAAGAGAGAGCAAGGAGAAAGGAGAAAGGAGAAAGGAGAGGAGATATAAACGTAAGAGAGAAGGAAATCATGATCTTGAAGCATAGAACCTCATCTTCCAAACCAAGCTAGGGTAAAACTTATTTTACTCCATAGAAGCACCGGTTTAAGTTTGAAGCAAAGCCGAGGCCTGTAGAGAGAGAAAAACCAAACCTTAGTTTGAGCTTCAAACTTTAAGGTTTGGGGTCAAAGAATCCATTTTGGGGGTTTAATTGACCTGATTTGGTTATTTAGGTGGTCAAAAGTTGAGTCGCAGGGTTGTCCATGAAAGAACTTAATTTGAACCTCAACTTTGAACTTGATTTCGTGAGAATCTAGAGTGGGGTGTACAAACAATGACTTGGATCTAACAAAGGGTTGAAATAGGAGTAGATTAAAATTTGAATGAGAAATGTGGGAAAACAAGTAGACAGAAGTAAGGGTGGTTGAAGAGGAAACAAAGATGAGAGGGGAGAAACTAGCTCACCTTGACGATGTGTGATTGCGCGTGGGGTGGCTGATAATGATCTGGTTGGCTCCATTGGACTCTTTTGTTCATAATTTATCCAGTTATATCTTGTTTGACCAAGTTCGACTTATTTCACACTGAAAATGATCATTTTTCTCTTTATCAAATCTGATTTTGCAACCTATGCAAGTTTTGGCTAAATTAAAATTATTTCTATGTTTTAATAGGTCTTAGGCACTTATACTTGAGTTTCCGCTAAAAAAAGTTGGATTTTTTACAATTGTTCGGCTTGCTGGCACACGTGTGTGGTAGGTTACTCTAGTTCTGCTTTAAACTTGGACTTTCTAACCTTTTTTCATATTCAAGCTATTTTAGAAAGTTATATATATATATATTGATTATTATGATTGTGTTGAATACTGCTTATGATTTTGAATCTGATGATTGCTTTGTGAAGTTTTGTTTTGTTGAGATGTTGAGCTGGTTTGTGAAATTGATTTCTCGAATCTGTATTTTTGAAAAGTATAGTGCACATAGGGTTGAGCGGTAGAGGGCTCATAACCTAGGTTTAAACCATAGAGAGTTCGACTGATTTTGGTTGCCCAATGACTTTTTAGCTTAGATATCTGGTTTTAAATTGGAACATATTTTTACTTTGGGTCAGAGTTCCCTAAAAGGTTTACTGATGATTTTGAGACATTTGATAGGTGCAGTGTGGACCCTGTGTGGCTAGGATTTTGTTTTCGGTGTGGCAAAAATATAGATTGGTACAGGATGGTACCAAATGTTGATTGTAATTCTGCTTTTGATATAACCCTACCTTTGATTTTAAAATTAATTTGGCTTATATGTAAATATGTTTGAATGATGTTTCAAATCCCAATCACTATAGGTTATGATATTTTCAAACCTTGTTACTTGCAGAACTGGATTAATCTATTTAGTTGGAAGCTCATCATACATTGTTTATCTCTTTTATAGTATTTGGGAAATGAACATGTTTGGTGTTGTGTTTGAAAGAAAGCCTGAAAATGTTGAAATATTTTTGACATAGTTATAGTTAGTCACACACCTATACCTTTGGGTTGACTCAAATTGATATAGTTTCGGGCTATAATCATTGAGTAACGCGATCAGGAGATCCAAGACGTTATAGTGGCGTGCTCGGGAGATCAGAGGCATCACAAAACTTTGGTATCAGAGCATGTTAAATCCCTTTGAAGCTATAGCAATGTTTCTTTTTTGGATTATCCAATGGGCCTACCGAGATTATTAAAGTTCTGATAGCATTGGAGTGTCGTGAGCTGGTTTCAAAGTTTACTCATTTATGTGAAGTTGTAACATTTACTAGTAGTTGAGATTATTAGCATTCTGATTTGAATGAGTTGGGTTAGAACGTCACAAGTTGATTGCTCATTATAATTAAAACCCACAACACCTTTGACCCTCCTGCATTGGTGTTATATCTTCATTCAAGAGGACGAATGCATGATCACAAATAGTACCAGTGAAAATTAGAAATATGTCCAGTCAAGGGGTGGGTGGGGGGTTTGGGAGGGAAGGGAAAGAAAATAGATTAAAATGAAGAGTCATTGGACTACACCATGTAATTCAATTATGGCATTTGCACTTGGAGGTCTTACAACTTAGGGAAATAGATCCAGGCCTAAAATTTTATTCGAGATTTACTTTAGATGTCTTTGAACAAACAAATTTTTTCCTTTTGTCAGTAATTAGAAGGTACCTAAAGTTTTTAATATTACGAGTCATCCGTCTAGCAAACTAGGAAGCGTGTAGTGTTTCAAAAATCGGATATTACCAACAAAAGATGGAATTCAGTGGTTGCCCAATGACTATCGATTGCAATGGTTCATTCATGGGTTACCCCTCCCTGCTGTAAATACGTACTCATCCAAAATATAAAAAACCAATAAAAGATGGAATATAACTCCATAAATACTTCAAATTATATCATTTATATAGACTTCAAAGTATGTTTAATCCCAAATAACAATTTGTGCAAGAGAAAATGCCAGACTCGTCCTCCTAATCACAACCTTTAATCACAAAGACGAACAATTCGTATTGACACCCCTCATAAATTTATGTACTTCAACCCATATAATCTAAAACAAAACCATAAATGTCTAAGCGGCAGAGGGGGCAGTAGCATAGTAAACAACACCACCCTCCGAAAGCACCGATGTAAAATTGTTCACACCTTCAGCCTCTGCATTGGTCCTCTTGTAGTCTAGTGACTCATCGTTATATATATCCCACCACTGCTTCACCAACATTTTAATGTCTTCCCTATCCATGTTCTCTTCTTCGCCAGTGTACCTCCATGGCTTTGAACCTGCAGCACAATAGTGAACAACTTTCACTTTTTCAAGCTCGATGTTCACAGGGTGGCGCCACAACATGGCCAAGACCAAGTTGTAAATTGGAGGAATTGGCCTATAGATATCCCTAAAGAACATGTTCAAAAAATCCTGCTCAGCAAAAGAAGTAGGAGGAGTGACTTTGAGGGTCTGTAAGAGATCATCATAGATGGAGAGGTTGGGCTCATAGACAAACATCCCAGCATTGAAGTAGAGAGGAGGCTTGGGTCCCAACTCAGCCGGCCACTGGACCTTATTTGGGCACTGTTGGCAGTATCCTATTTTGAATTGGGGGCTGTGGCTCCAAGTTTTCTCGCAGAAGCAATCCATGACAGCATAAAAGTAACCATTTGGCATATCAAAGAGGTGGTCAATATTGTCAAACACTTGGATATCTCCATCCAAGTATATCATTTTGCTGTACTCCACAAACTGTATGTTGATAATAAACAAATGATCATTTAGTCAAATTGAAGACCCAATTGGATACAGAAAGATTTACCCTAGGAAATTGGAAAATAAAATTAGGACTCTTTAATTTAAGGGAGGTGAGTTTATTGTAATATTTGGGATGAAAATTTTGATACATAATTTTGTAAGCTACAATATTACTAGTAATCAAATAAACAAACACAGAAACCTTGACTATATCTTAAAAGCATACCTCCCAGATACGAAGTTTGGAGTAGTTGATGACATAATAAGGCATAGCAAACTGGGTTTGGTTCTCCGGTGGATAAACTGGCCCGATCTCACGAACAATACAACCCTGGGAAACCAATATACGGCGATGCTCCTCTGGAACATCTGGCAGAACCGCTACAACAAGAGGGTAAGCAGTTTTCACCTTTCTCAACCCCTTAGCCAATCCAACCACGCCTTTCACATAGTCACCGTTACCAGCCAAGAAGGTAACGTAGGCACGGCTAGAGAGACTAGCAGCCTTGACTAGACCTGTGGTGGGCTTGGTTGCGGCACTAACAAGTTCAGGAGCCATTTGGGTTACTCTAACACAGTTCAAAGAAGAACAAGGAGTTTTTATATTACTGTTTTGTATGCAAGTTCGAAGGATTGTTGAGAAGGAAGAGAGGAGAGTTTTGAAGGTTGTAAGAGAAGAAAAGGATTGTGGATGTTTTCAGAGAAGGCAGATGACTTTGGTGTTTGGTGCTTTTGAGGTTGTTGATGGTATTGATGGTATCCAGGAAGGGTTTGAGGTTGTTTATATAGGCGTTGGATGATTAATTTTTTGATAAACAAAATCTGGAGATTTGGCCGGTGGAGTGATAAAGGCAAGTGTAATAAATTAGGATTAATAGACTAGAAGATCCTTGGTCCACCATTATCCTATTGTTTTTAGATTACCGCATCTAGCCTTGGGTCTCGTAATAGTAGTGCCGTTTGTTCACATGGTATGAGAAAATATTCAATTACTTATTAGGTATCAGGCTGTCAATGTCAACTGGTTCTCCCACGATATGCTTGTTAATAACCAATTAAGTGAGGATAGTTTTAATGACTTGAGATAGTTGTGAATGAAAAGGGATACTCAAATTAAGAGTAGAACCCCGTATATATATCCAAAAATAATACAGAGTGACTTAAACATTCTTGTAGTTTAGGCAAAATATAAAAATCATAGTAAGGGTAAAAAAGGGAAAAGAAATCCTAATAAACCTAGACTATCTATACTCCAACACTCCCCCTCAAGCTAGGCGCAAAAATGTCAACTAAGCCAAGCTTGACAACGGAGTCCCGAAGAATAGACAGAGAGACAGGTTTGGTAAAAACATCCGCAACTTGATCACTGGTCCCCACAAACGATGGAGTAACAAGACCACTGCTGACCTTCTCCCGAAGAAAGTGAACATCGATCTCTATATGCTTCGTTCTCTCATGTAGTACAGAGTCAGAAGCGAGCTGAATAGCAGATTGATTATCACAATATAATGTGGATGGAGAGGTCACTGAAAAACCCAACTCGTCAAGAATCGATCGTAGCCAGATAATCTCACATGTGCCAAGTGCCAGTGCCCGATACTCTGCCTCTGCGGATGAGCGGGAGACAACTGTCTGCTTCTTGCTCTTCCAAGAGATAAGATGAGTCCCTCGAAAAGCACAGAAACCCGTAGTAGATCGACCATCACATGCTCCCCCATAATCTGAATCTGAATAACAGGCTAGAGAACCGGTCTGAGATCCTGATGCATAAAACAACCCAAGTCCAGGACAAGACTTGAGGTACCGAAGAATATGATAAACTGCATCAAGATGAGGCTGACATGGCCTATGCATGAACTGACTAACTCGGCTGACTGCAAATGAAATGTCTGGCCTAGTATTGGCTAAGTAGATAAGTCTACCTACCAATCTTTGATAAACTGTCGGATCTTTCAACTCCTCACCTTCAGCAGTAAGCTTCAGGTTTGGAATCATAGGTGATGATGCCGGTTTGCACCCCAACATCCCAGTGTCTGAAAGAAGATCCAAAACATACTTTCTCTGAGAAAGAACAATACCTCTGCTTCTACGGCAACCTCAATCCCAAGAAAGTATCGCAGAAATCCAAGATCCTTCACATCGAAGGCCTTCCCAAGGTCTATCTTGACCTGCGCAGTCCCAGAAACATCATCACCAGTAATAATAATATCATCAACATATACCAGAAGGATGACACACTGTCCAGAAGTATTCCGTCGAATAAAGCAGGTATGATCAGAATGACACCTGGTGAACCCCAATCGTATGACTACATCACTGAAGCGAGAGAACCAGGCTCGTGGCGACTGTTTCAGTCCATAAAGAGACTTACGCAGTCGACATACCTTTCCAGCATACTCCCCCTCACCACGAAAGCCTGGTGGTGCATCCATATAAATAATCTCGTCCAGATCACCGTGAAGAAACGCATTCTTCACATCTAATTGATGAAGAGGCCAAGAGTACTCCGCAGCCAGAGAAATAATTAACCGAACAGTAGTCAATTTTGCCACGGGGGCAAATGTAGCACCAAAATCACGACCTGGTACCTGAGTAAAGCCCTTCGCCACAAGTCTAGCCTTGTAACGATCAATAGTACCATCCGCAAGAAACTTCAGGGTGTAAACCCAGCGACAGCCAACAGGCTTCACCCCTGAAGGTAAGGAGACAAGATCTCATGTATGATTACGCTGAAGAGCGTCCATCTCTGTCTGCATGGCAAGAATCCACTGGGGCTCCCGCATAGCTTCCGAAATAGAGCGAGGAATCAGCGTATCTGATAAGGCCATAGTATAAGCTCGAACTGTGGGAGACAGATTACCATAAGAAACATAAGCAGAGATCGGATATAAAATCTTGGCGGTCCAACCATATCGATCAACTGGACGGCGATCACGCCTTGGATAACGACGCCCTAAATCATCATCCTCTACTGATAATATCTTATCAGGTAAAGTAACTGGCTCAGCACCTGTAATCTCATCAGTACTAACAACAGGTGCATCAATATGCTCAACAAACTGAGAAGTATTACCTGCATCGCCTGAGGTAGAGGGGATATCAGCAGGGTGATGAGAGCGAGGACAACGAGCATACACCTGCAAAGGAAGAGAGACTGGTAACTCTGTACTGACAGGGATGAGTGACTCCTTTGGAGGAAAAACGGATGACCCTGTAGGGATAGTGATCAATGACTCTGACTCTTGTGGTAATGGAAAATCAAAGGGAGTATCATCAACTGGAGGGGCAGACAAAGGACTGAAAGGAAAATAAGGAATATGCTCAAGAAAGGTAACATCTAGACTGTGATACATACGACGCCTAATAGGATCATAACATCGATACCCCTTAGATTGATGACAATAGCCCACAAAGATACAACGAATCGCTTTATCATCAAGTTTATGACGAGTAGGAGACCGATCCTGAACAAAACATGTGCATCCAAAAACACGAGGGGGAACCGGAAAAAGTGTCCGCTCAGGAAATAAGACCTGTAAGGGAGCCTTATGCTGAAGAACACGACTCGGCGTACGATTGCACAGAAAGGTAGAAGTCAAAACAGCAAAATGCCAATAAGATTTTGGTACCCTCATGCCTCTAAGCAGACAACGTACCATCCCTATCAAACTCCTATTTTTCCTTTCAGCAACACCATTTTGCTCAGGAGTATATGGACAAGTGAGTTGCTGAAGGATACCTTGAGAAGAAAGGTGAGACACTAAAGCATCAGACACATATTCTTTGGCATTATCCGAACGAAGAGCACGAACAATGACATCGAATTGTGTCTTAATCATCTGTAAAAACTGAGTGATTATAGGGAGCACATCAGACTTCCTATGCAAAAGGTAGACCCAAGTACAACGGGTATGATCATCTATAAATGTCACATAATATCTGGCACCTGACAGAGCAGTAACGGGAGAGGGTCCCCAAATATCAGAGTGTATTAGGTCAAATGGCTTGGGTGACTGGTGCATGCGAGGAATATAATTGGCCCTAACATGTTTTGATAGGGAACAGATAACGCAATCAAGTTTACCACCAACACAAGCATTACTCAAAGCAGGAAACAACATACATAAATATTTAAAATTTGTATGTCCAAAACGGTCATGCCACAATTGAACAGTTTGTGACGAAAAATCATAACGACAACTACTAGGTAAAATACTAGCATGCAAGCTAGGAACAGAAAAAGACAAAGCAGGTGCAGGTGAAGGAATTGGTGAAACTGGAGATGGATTGCCAAGATAATACAGTCCATCTTTCTCATGTCCCTTGATAATAATCCTCCTGGTACTCAGGTCCTGCAAATAACACGAATCAGATAAGAATACAACCGCACAGTGAAAATCTCTGGCTAACTGATGTACAGATAATAGATTCATGGCCAACTTTGGCGCATGAAAAACCGAATGTAATGTAAGGCCATCTGGGAGACGGACTGTACCCCTACTAACAATAGGGGCATGTGTTCCATCTGCTAACTGAACCTGTGTATGTAATGGCTCGTCAAAAGTGGTGAAGTGATGGGCCTCACCTGTCATGTGACCATTCGCACCCGAGTCCAACATCCAAAGGGGAGATGAACTGGCACAAGCGTGAAAGGCACGAGATATACCTGTAGTGGTGACAGCAGCAGTAGTCAGACTCTGAGAAGTCAGAGCAGACATAAGTATATCTAATCGGGAAGTGATAGCTTCCATATCACTTTGCCAAGGAGGAGCAGTAGCAGGAGTGGCGGTAGTGGGCGGTGGTACCTCAGCAATAGCAACAGTACGGCTGCGAGAAGGTGGCTTAAGCTCTGGATGGAGCTTCCAGCAAGTAGCCCTGAGATGTCCTGGTCGGCCACAATAATCACATTGACGGGAATCCCCCCGTCTGCGCTGATCTAGGGCGCCCTGACGGCGTTGCCCATCCCTGACTAAGGATCCTGAACGGGACCCTACAGCAGCTGCAAGGGCCATCTGGTCAATCGAAGGAGTCAAAGCTGCAACTGGAAGTGATGCAATACGGACTCGACGCTCATGCTGCTCAATCATCCCATACACCTCATAAAGAGAAGGAAGTGTCAACATCGACAAGATCTGAGAACGAGGTCCCTCAAACTCATCACGAAGCCCCATAAGGAACTTGTGAATCCTATCCTCCTGCTCTCGAGTATGCAAGAATGCTGCTCCCTCGGGCTCTATCTTCGGAATAGCAGCAAGAGGACGTAGAGACTCATACTCAAGCCAGCGCTGGGTCAAATAGCCATAATAATCCTGAACGGTCATATCTCCCTGCCGAGCATATGAGAGCTCCTGAGAAAGCTCATAAACACGAACTCCCCGTCCTGACTGAGAATACATCTCTGATAATGCGCTCCATAGCTTCGGAACAGAGCTATGAAACTGGTGGATCCTGCAAACAGAGGGCTCCATTGAGCCAAATAACCATCCAAGAATGGCACAGTTTTCAGAGAACCATGCAAAATATCCAGGGTCGGCATCAGCTGGCTTTGGGTGAGATCCC